TCCTTCCTAGGTATAAACCATGGCCCAGTGGTGGCGGGTGTGATCGGAGCCCAGAAACCCCAGTATGATATTTGGGGGAACACGGTCAACGTGGCCAGTCGCATGGAGAGCACCGGGGTGCTTGGGAAGATCCAGGTACGAGGCATGACTGTGAGGCGGGGAGAGCTGTTGAGGGGTGTCTCACCAGACTAAGGTTCCTAGAGGGGCATGCAGTGGGGAAATTCCCTAGAGGGGAGAAAAGGGGGGAAGCATGGTTCCCAACCTTGCCTAGGTCCCACCAGTCAGGACCTGCACAGTGACGGTGGCATAGAATCCTAGGGCTGGAGGAGACCTCAGGAGGCCATTGAGTCTCGCCGCCTGACCAAAACAGGACCACTATGGGGAGCCTTGCAGCACCAGAACCGCCCAGCCAGGGATCAAGGAAGGGCAATTGTTCTCCCGTCCTTCTCAGGTCACAGAAGAGACGGCCAAAGCCCTGAAGACCCTGGGTTACACCTGCTACCTCCGTGGAGTCATCAAAGTCAAGGGAAAAGGCCAACTACGGACCTACTACGTCAGCACGGACTTATCCCGCTCCAGCTTACAGGCTTCCATGCTCAGCTGAGAGCTCGCCCCCTGGAGAAACGGACGCGTCACAGCCGACCGAGGGCCCGTCTCCTTCCATCCCACCGCAGTACTTCCTCCCCACCACTGGGGGGAGCCGGCACAGGATAGACATGGCTTTGCATTCATCTCATTCATGTCATGAGCTGATGCCTGGACTCGGCCTTTCACTCGGGGACAAGTGAAGGGCTGGGAGAGATTTTTGGGGGGGGGGTTCAGAGGGAGTAGAATCTACCTGAAGGAGGCAGACGCATGGGAGAAATGACCCCCCTCCCCAAGATCTGAGTGAGCCAGGATGGGGGGGAATATGGGGGAGTGTGGAAAAACAGGAGCCGCCTCAGTGAGGGGCCAGGGCAGCAAGATAAAAGGAATTTCCCCTTCTCTCCGTTCTTCCCTGAAGGCCACCACCCCTTCTCCAGCCTGCGGATGTGCTGTGGTCTCAGCCTTGTATGCGTAGGCACTTCCTGTTACCCCAGATCAGTCTCAGGAAACCGCAACTTCCGGAGAGACCAGAACTGGCTTCCCCAGCGAGATCCGCTTTCCCCCAGAGCCCCGGCGGGCTGGAGGGGGCTGAAGCCAGCGGATGGGGGGGGCGGGTGAAAAGGCCCTGAATGGTGTTGGGAGGGAGGGAGGCGTGTGGGGGTTGAAGGACCAGTAGCCGGTCACCCATTCCTGGTGCAAGACCCACGTTCTGTATGCCCTGGCTGAAACGTTCAAGGAGGCTGGAATTTGCGGGCTGGGAGGCGGCCGCAGCCTGGTTGCTTTTCTCCCCCGGCAAAGTTTGGCCACTTCCGTTCCACCGTTGGGGCGGCTTGGCCCATGGGCCGATCTGGCGAGCTCTGGGCAGCTATTGCGCCCCCTGGCTTCGGAGAGGGGGCATGGAACTGGGCAGGGAGCTGGTGTGGCGGGGGGAGACGCCTTTCACCAGGGCTGTGAACTTCTGGCTGGGTTTGGCCCGGCTCTCTCTCTTGGGGAGAGACTTCACAGCTAGGACCCTCTCTGGACTGGAGGTCTCACAGGCTCTGGGCCAAGAAGATGCTGAGGACCAGACCTGGGAGCAAGGCGCCCTCCAATCTTCTCCATCCCGGGGCTAATCAGCGGGGAGGCATTTGAACCTCTCCCAAGTGCCAGCCTCTCTCCCTCCTGCTGTCGGGGTCTCCTGGCCAGGCCCAGGAATGTGGGGAATGGGGTGAGGAATCTGGGAGGGGCTGGAGGCAGGCAGAGGGTGGGACAAGGCACCGAGAAAGGGGCCTTGGCTGGTTGGGCAGGGAGACAGGGACCGAGAGGGGAGACAGGCTGGCTGGGGAGGGAGACAGGGACCGAGAGGGGAGACAGGCTGGCTGGGGAGGGAGACAGGGACCGAGAGGGGAGACAGGCTGGCTGGGGAGGGAGACAGGGACCGAGAGGGGAGACAGGCTGGCTGGGGAGGGAGACAGGGACCGAGAGGGGAGACAGGCTGGCTGGGGAGGGAGACAGGGACCGAGAGGGGAGACAGGCTGGCTGGGGAGGGAGACAGGGACCGAGAGGGGAGACAGGCTGGCTGGGGAGGGAGACAGGGACCGAGAGGGGAGACAGGCTGGCTGGGGAGGGAGACAGGGACCGAGAGGGGAGACAGGCTGGCTGGGGAGGGAGACAGGGACCGAGAGGGGAGACAGGCTGGCTGGGGAGGGAGACAGGGACCGAGAGGGGAGACAGGCTGGCTGGGGAGGGAGACAGGGACCGAGAGGGGAGACAGGCTGGCTGGGGAGGGAGACAGGGACCGAGAGGGGAGACAGGCTGGCTGGGGAGGGAGACAGGGACCGAGAGGGGAGACAGGCTGGCTGGGGAGGGAGACAGGGACCGAGAGGGGAGACAGGCTGGCTGGGGAGGGAGACAGGGACCGAGAGGGGAGACAGGCTGGCTGGGGAGGGAGACAGGGACCGAGAGGGGAGACAGGCTGGCTGGGGAGGGAGACAGGGACCGAGAGGGGAGACAGGCTGGCTGGGGAGGGAGACAGGGACCGAGAGGGGAGACAGGCTGGCTGGGGAGGGAGACAGGGACCGAGAGGGGAGACAGGCTGGCTGGGGAGGGAGACAGGGACCGAGAGGGGAGACAGGCTGGCTGGGGAGGGAGACAGGGACCGAGAGGGGAGACAGGCTGGCTGGGGAGGGAGACAGGGACCGAGAGGGGAGACAGGCTGGCTGGGGAGGGAGACAGGGACCGAGAGGGGAGACAGGCTGGCTGGGGAGGGAGACAGGGACCGAGAGGGGAGACAGGCTGGCTGGGGAGGGAGACAGGGACCGAGAGGGGAGACAGGCTGGCTGGGGAGGGAGACAGGGACCGAGAGGGGAGACAGGCTGGCTGGGGAGGGAGACAGGGACCGAGAGGGGAGACAGGCTGGCTGGGGAGGGAGACAGGGACCGAGAGGGGAGACAGGCTGGCTGGGGAGGGAGACAGGGACCGAGAGGGGAGACAGGCTGGCTGGGGAGGGAGACAGGGACCGAGAGGGGAGACAGGCTGGCTGGGGAGGGAGACAGGGACCGAGAGGGGAGACAGGGCCTGTCTGGGCAGGGAGACAGACCAAGAGGAGAGACAAGCATCTGACAAGGGAGACAGGAAGGGAGGTGGCAGACAGGCTGGCGGGGCAGCGAGACAAGAACTGAAAGGAGAGACAGGCTGTCTGAGCAGGGAGACAGGGGTTGGCCGGGCAGGGACACAGGCTCCAAGAGCTGAGGGCTGGTGGGGTGGGGGGCTTTTGGGGCAGAAGTGGGCAATGGGTCATTTAGTCTGAGCTCAGGGAACATTGGGCAAGGAGAGCAGGAGTGGAAGCCAGGGAGAGAAAGGGGGAATTGGGTAGGCTGGTGTCTAGTTGGGGCTGATGGGGAAGCCGGGCACACAGAAGGGAGTCTGGTGGGTGCGGTGGGATACTTGGGGTTCCTATCCCATGTGGCCCCACGTCGAGTGCAGGGTGTGAGTGGATGAGGATGGGATTGTCAGCCTTGTGCCCCATGGCCTAGGGCTAGTCCAGCGCTGTTGCCCTCTGAGTCCCCATCCCTGCAAGCGTGGGCCCACCGAGTGGATGACAACTTTCTACTGCTGCGCTCCACCCTGCCGAGGAGCCGCAGGAGGGAAGGCTGGCACCGTCACGTCACTTTTCTGAGGTGGTTTTTATGAAAGCACGGGAAATCACCCTCCCTCCCCACAAAGCGGCCATAAAAGGAGATGCTGAGCCTGCCCGAGGGAGGACACACCTGAAAATCGGGGCCAGTGCAAAATCGGCTGCAGTGGCACTCTGTCCGTGCAGCGTTGGGTGTGCGTGATTATTCTGTGTACGGTCGCGTAGGAATAGACAGCACTGCTGGTTTGTAATGGATGTCTCTGGGGCCGTTCCTCCGTCTTGCCTGGCAAGAAAACACGCATGCACACGCAAACACACGCATGCACACGCACACACACTCTCTCTCTCTCTCATTCCTACAGGCTACACAGAAACATTCCTTTAATGAAGCAAAGGTACAGAAGGTGATTTCATGACACACTGGGAGGGGTCATGATTTCACGCCAACCATTCCCCTCCCCCTTCCCCCGGGGCAACTCTGCGCTGGTGCCCCCTGCTGGCAATGAGTTGAATCCTGGCTTTAAGGAGGGGAGGGCCAGCGTGTAGGCCCCCCAAATGCATGTCCGCGTGGAAGGGAGACCGGGAAAACTCCCTGTTGAAATCCCAAATTTCCTTTCACACTGGGAGGGGTCATGATTTCACGCCAACCATTCCCCTCCCCCTTCCCCCGGGGCAACTCTGCGCTGGTGCCCCCTGCTGGCAATGAGTTGAATCCTGGCTTTAAGGAGGGGAGGGCCAGCGTGTAGGCCCCCCAAATGCATGTCCGCGTGGAAGGGAGACCGGGAAAACTCCCTGTTGAAATCCCAAATTTCCTTTTCTAATC